AGATACTCTCACCGACCAACTTAACCACTCACACACACAACTTACTACCTCAGGTTTACCCCCCTAGTCTGAGTTTAGAGTTGTGCATAAACATAGTCTATTGATGAGGCAAAAATGAGTAGAATGCAGACATAATTAGTGAAATGACATCTGTTACTTGAGTTTTTATTTATTATTTACTCCAAATTACCTTCATCCTACTATGCATATAGAATTACATAAAGATTAATGTATTCTAAAGTATGGTCACAAATGTACAGACTTCAGTATAAAACAAATATTGCCACAAATTTCTGAGAAAAAACAAAGACAAAAAATGAGGTGTAGAAAGTCAAGATGTCTATTTTTGTCAAACAGCTGTACTGATTCAATCCCTAAAGTAGTTCATAGCATACGAAGAGTTCAATGATTAAAGCAGTCATTAAAGTTATATAGAAAATATGCACTCACATGGCTTTAGTTCAGGCTTAAAAGGTTTGTGGACACAGATGAAGGGTAACTTGTCCTCACAATAATAAGGTGCTATCTTTAAATCAGTATTTTGTATAAAACATTTCTTATCAAGAGTAGATCCGTATGCTTCCCATCTTCCTGAGAGTTTTTCTGCTGTCCTAGAAAAAAACAAAATACAAATTGTGTTTGAGATTTTATAATTAAATAGATAAATATATATATATTATATATAGACACACATACATGTATACACAAATGCCCTAATTTCATTTAATTTCAAAATATTATTAATCTGTTCTTTTTTGTGTGTTTTGAACTCAAAGCTAGACAATGAGCTATGTGTGCTCTGTCCACTGCAGGGAATCAAACCTCAGATTGTACCATTGTAAGCCCATATATCATTATTAATCTCATTACTTTTTTCTTGTAACAAAATGTGACTACATCTGAGGAAGAAGTTGAGTATTCTATTATGTTAGTTGATTTTCACTGTGTATGCTGTATCAGTTATTATAAGTTTTATCATATCTCCTTAAGCCTTTTCTTTAAGCACATTGCACATTTCAAGTTATATATTTATTTAACAAACAACTAATTTATCTGAAGGGCAATATTCCTGGGCCTATAATACCACCAAAGTAAGTTGTCAGATAAACTCCTACAAGACTGTTGAAGATAACCAGGAACTCTGACATGTCAAAAGATTAGAGGAACTTTGCAATCCTTGTTTTCCAAGGATTCAGGTGTATGGTGAATTTTGCATGTAGAAACTTCCTGAATGAAGTTGCAGTCCTGTCTCTGCTGGTCTTTACCATATTCTTGAAGTATGGGAAGGGAGTTGGGTTTTAATACAGCATAAGAAAATGACTTTAACTCTATAAATCAGGACAATATATGTATTATTGTTCAAGATTATTTTATGAGTTATTTTTCATGTTTACCTGATAATTGTTTTTTTAACACCTATATATATGGCAGTCATAGCAGAATGATTGCCATGTTATGATGGAAAATGTCACTTTACTGTCGTTTCAAGTAATTCTACTACAATGAAATTTGTAAATATGTGTATACTTATGGTTGAACATCACTTCTTTTTATTTATATTTGTGATTACTTTACTTTTATGTACCTGAAAGCCATACATCCACTTTGGTACACACAAATTACAACTGAAGTAGGCAATGGTTACTACTATTATCAAGCTTGTTGCTGAATGGTGATGTCATTGAGTTAAACTTGTCTAATCTGTACCTGAAAGCCATACATCCACTTTGGTACACACAAATTACAACTGAAGTAGGCAATGGTTACTACTATTATCAAGCTTGTTGCTGAATGGTGATGTCATTGAGTTAAACTTGTCTAATCAGTACCTGAAAGCCATACATCCACTTTGGTACACACAAATTACAACTGAAGTAGGCAATGGTTACTACTATTATCAAGCTTGTTGCTGAATGGTGATGTCATTGAGTTAAACTTGTCTAATCAGTACCTGAAAGCCATACATCCACTTTGGTACACA